TTCATCAGCCAGTAAGAGGACTTCCCCCTCCCTCCCCCCTCTCGTAGATTAGAGGATCATCTGCATAGAAATGGCCTTTGCAGGAAGGCAGGAGGGGAGGGGAGGGGAGGGGAGGGGAGGCAGCTTAGCAATGTGTCGCTCCAAGCCAATGAATTCTCCCATTGTCATTCGCTGAACCATGATATCCCTGGCTTTCCAGGACAGTGACTCATCCAGTCTGTGTGCATAGAAAATTAAATATAATTTATGCTTTGCTAATTGAAACCAAATACAAAATTCAATCTCCTGTGTGCCGGGAATGCTGACATTTAAAGAGGGGAGACAAAAACCCAAATTCAACCGGAAGCTTTCTGAGCGGGTGACTCCTTTGGAAGAGAAGCCGTCTTCTTGTGGCAGAGAAGCAGGGAGGCTGAGGGGAGGACGCGGCACCCTTGTGCCTACAGGGCGTCACCAACCCCAATTCACAAAGGGGAAGAAACAAGTCCCGGCTTCGTTTTGTACGGTGCGTGGGGGGAGCTCCTTCCCGATCTTGTCAGGCTCCAGGCCAGAAAAATCCCCGTCTCCTCCTTGACTGTGAAGTGGAGCAACAACCACACGAAGAACGAGCAAGCAAGCGAGCGAGCGAGCAAACAAACAGAGTGGCCAGTGTGACTTGTGCTTCGGAGGAAGACTGGGATCCTGGACACGTTGTTTCCCCCACGGCGTTTTTCTTCCCCACAGAGCAGGCCCACTTTCCAGGAGACCCAGCCCCTCCTCTCCTCCCTTCCCTTCCCTTCCCTTCCCCTCCAGCCCTGTGGGGCCCAAGTCCCAGTCTCAGTAGTTCAACCCCTATCAAAAATAAACCTCTGAACATATGGTGCAGGATGTGTGAAATGGCTTCGCTTGATCTTCCCCAGGCCCACCGGCAGGAAGGCGGTTCCTTGTGCAGCCGAGCAGCGGGAGGGGGGGTGTCCTGAACTGGATGTGCCTCCTGGCTTCCCCCTTTTGCCAAAGCCTTGGCCACGGTTCCCTCCCTGACTTGCTCCCGCCAAGAGTGGGAGGGGGGCCACCAGGAAAGCACCCTCAGCCCTTGGTCTCCTGTTGTCCAACTCCGGCTGGGCTAGAGACGCCGAGGGATGGAGAGGGGGCCGTCTCTTGCCTGGCACGAATCTGGCAGCCACTTCCGTCCCTTGAGCAAATTTCCCCGTGGTCACGGTGGCAGATCAGGGAGGTCCTGGGTTTCCGGGCAGTAGGCGAGCTGGACCCTTCTCCTACCTCAGGCAGCATCTGTGGGAGGGCAAAGAAGAAAAAGCAGCAGCCGCGGGGTTAGCAAAAGCCGCCAGGCCACACCTGCCCCACAACGCCCCCCACCCCTACCCTGGCCAAGAGCAGCAAAGATTTGGCTCCCTTTGGCTTTGAACTGGGCGCCCAGCTGGACTCTGCGTGCAAGCTGGCAGGTCTGGGCTGGGCAGCGACCCCTTTTCACTGGCAAAGCTTGTTGCTCCTCCGTCTTCTTGGTCTTAAGCCAAAGAGATCCTCAAGAGCTTGACACTGGAGAGGGATCAGGGAGGGCAGCTATTCTGACATTGGCCTTTCTCTCTACCTCCCCTTCCCCCCCCCGACCAACTTGGGTGGGTTGGTCCAGTCCAGGAGGGTCTGAATAGGGGGCATCTTGGAGCCCGGAAGAAACCAGAAGGGGTGGGGGTGAGGGTGGGCATTCGGTAACAAAACAAAAGACCAAGCAGTCTGTCTGCTTCCAGGAGAAGTGGAGCAACTTTCTTCTTCTTTATCCACGGTACTTAAACTTCCCTCCAGGAGCTCAGCAGGATGGATCGTGGCCGGGCTGCCTGATGGGATACTTTTGAGTTGTGTGGAAGGTCCCTCCTCAGGGTGGCCACTCTGGAAGGTAGGGGTCAGCCCCCACCCCAGTCAGTCAATGTGGGGTGGGTGGGGAAGCATAGTTTTGTACAATGTTAAAGAAACCCGTCCCCCAGCCCACCTGGATCCATTAATCACTGTAAATTAAACTGCATAATAACACAGTTCTCATTTAGCAGAGGAAATGACAGTTTAATAACATGTGAAACAATTTAAATCCAGCCCTGCTGCATATTTCCAATTTTCTTGTAGTAACAATTTTATGGCTTGGAAATCCAGCCGTTGTGGGTGATGCGGGGGCAGGGGAGGGGAAGAAGAGTGTTTTATGTCAGTTGCGCTTTAACACCTAATTGGGCTGATAGGATCCGACATCTCCATCTCAGGGAAACACCCCCCGCCTCCTGGAGTCCAGACTCCAGCCAAGATTCGACCGAGCGGTCCAGCACCTTCTTGCCTGGCCTGAATGGGCAAAGGAAGCGAACAGGGTCTCTGAGCATCCAGGCAGCCTTGCGGGTTGCTCAGCGGGTGCCGGCCTCCAGTGGCATTTCCTCCTTCTGCCAAGCAAGTGAGCGAGCAAGTAAGGTGTTGCTGGCCTTGATCAAGAACAGTGGCAAGCCGGGCAGGAGGCCGGTAAGAGCTTGGCATTGCCCATGGCAAGGTGCCCAACGGACAGGAGGAACCGATGGCAGCGCTAGCTTGGCATTGCCCATGGCAAGGTGCCCAGTGGACAGGAGGAACCGATGGCAGCGCTGAGTTAAGGAAGGAAGGTAGGTCCCCAGCGCTCTCCAGGTCAGGAAGGAAGGAAGGAAGGAAGGAAGGTCCCCAGCACTCTCCAGGTCGACTGAGGCAGGTGTGGGAAGAGATCACAACTCAGACTGCAGCGAGGTCCTGGTGGGGCCCAGGAATGGTGGGGGAAGAGGGACTCGAGTTCTGGAGGTGGCCTTCTTGCCTAGGCAGCCACAGACAAGGCCCAGAGGCCCAGCCAAGCCCAGGGCAGCTAATTGCAGCAGGCTGGACATGGGGCCGGTTGTTCCTGGTGGGCACGGTGCCGCCTGTGTAGTTAAATGGCAAACCACCCTGCGGGTGCTTGAAGCCCTATTGGGCAGCACACAAATGGCATGCCTTGCACTTTTTCTGCCTTGCTTTTTCTGGGCGCTCAGGCCAGTTCTTGCCTCAACACCCTTTGGGCTTGATTCTGACTATGTCTTAGGGATAAGAGTGCAAGGCCTCTGGGGCCTGGCATTTTTGGGAGGGGGTCAGGAGGCCACAGCAGGGACCTGGGCAACCCAAGGGAATGGCACGGGATGGGCGCATGCCGCCTTGCTGACCCCCACTCAGCTCCCGTGGAAGGTCCAAGGCTTGTGCTCGGCTTCCCTCAAGAGCGCTGCCGGTAAGCCTGGTGCGCCAGTGCCCTGCCAGCCAGAGCGGGCTGCTCCACGTTAGGTGGACCAAATGCAACTCAACTCACTCACTGCCAGGCAGCCTTCTAACTCCCTCGTGACACCCTTTTTTCTCAGGGGGGAGGGCCGTCATAGCTCTGGGGGTCTGAAAAGGTTGAGACCTGGATTCCTGGCGTCTCCAGGCATGGGTGGGGAAACGCAGGCTGCCCTTCCACGCAAAGACATTTTGAGCAGAGGGGCTGGAACTGGGACACAGCCTCTGGCCCCTGCGTTCGTTTACCTCTGGATCAGGGACGTCTCCTCCTCGCCTGCCTCGAGGTCACTTTTCCCCCTCCTCCTGCTCCCACTGGAAATCTTGGCCTGTCATTTGGTAAAACATGACATTGAACGGCTTGTAAAACTTCCTCAGCCGTAGGATGACGTCCCGGTCGATTTGGGGATGAGGGCGGCCCTTGGACTTGCCGAGGCAGCGGGGAGGGCTGCTCTCCTCGGGCTTCTTGAGGCAAGGGAAGCCCTTGGTCTTGTTGAAGTGGAAGTGCTTCTCAGAGATCACCCGCTGGAGGCCCAGGAAGTCCTGGACCTTGCCCATCTCCCCGGCAGGGTCCGTGATCAGCCGCTCCCCGCTGACAAAGTGGATCTGGGAGAGGGGGAAGTACTGGAGCCAGCTCTCCAGGTGCAGCGCGTAGATCCCGATCCGGATGGCGCTCCAGGAGGCGTCAATCAGTCCCAGGGTCCGGTTCTTGAAGGCCAGCACCTCGAAGGTGGGGATCTCAGGCTTCTTCGAAAGGGTCTGGGTGTAGTCAGAGATGGCCCGGGTGACGGGGTCACGCACGACCACAACCAGCTTCGTCTCCTTGGCCATGGAGTGGATGCGCTTTGGGGCTTCGTTGGTGACAAAGTAGCTGGGTGTTTTCTCCATGGTGAGTTGGCCTTCCAACGTCTTGGGCATCAGGTCCCTAGAGGAGGG